CAAAGCATGATGAGTATGCTGTAGGGGGGCACCCAGATACTGTGGTTGCTTGGAGTCCCATGGATTCTCTTTTGGGGCAAGTTCCTCAAAGATTTCAAGACAAACAGTTGAGCAGTGCCAAGAAAGTGCTCAGGACAGCCCAGGGGACAGGCCCACTGGTCCATCATGCTCCTTCAGTTCTCTCCACCCAGCCTCAGCTTAGTTTCCCATACCTGGAGTTCCCTCTGGATGGTTCCCACTTGGAACATGTGATGCCGTATCCTGCCCTACTTAGGAGAGGCTAGGGTGTGCTGCGGAAACAACCAGTCCTAAGATCCCAGTGACTCAAAACCACAGTTTTCCTTCTTATTTCTGATACATGTCCATGTACATGGGTTGGTGGTGGCTGTGCTTCACTCTGCGTCAGTGTTCTTTGCTTCAGAGCATGCCTTTCTGGGAACATTGTTGGCTGCAGTGACAGAGAGTGAAGAGAAGCCTAATTGGGACTTGCATTTGGCATTAAAATGCCTCAGCTGCTGTCTGTCTACAAGTCACTAGTGGTGGAGGGGGGGGTACCAGAAAAAAGACAGGTAGAACTAACTATTTGAAGGCTCTTCTTGACCTCCACTTTTGAGGCTGCCTTGGCATCCAGGCCCTGCCCCAAGCACACTCTGAAGGCCCATCCCTGGGTTTGCCCTAGGCTGGGGGCAGGAGAAGCAGCCTAGGGAGGGCCTTCAAGAGTCCACAAAGAATCAGAACCCAGCTCCCAGAGAACTCTTCTGTCTCCAACACCTTGGGCATCCCAATGGGGCACACACATGCAGCACTGATCACCAATCACACCTTTCCCGAGGGTCCCCTCGCACCTGATGTGCTGGGGAGGCAGGGGGGCCAGTAGGGGGGGTGCAGGGACACCACTAGGGCCTGAGCAAGATGTGCTCTGAGAAAGAGACCTTAGCAGAGAGCAGCTAAAAGCCCAGGCAGAAAAACAGGTCCACTGCCCAAGATGCTAGCACATTAGATTGTGGGTTGGGAGGTCATACTCCCCTGAGCATATCCTTAGAACCCTGAGCTTATCTAGGTATTGGGGGCATGGTAGGCATCCAAAATTCATGGTGAATTATAGGATCCTTTGGCACAGGATCCTAAGCCTACCCTATCCAGGGGGAGCCCATCTTGGCCTAGCTCCAGAGGCCAACTGTCCTACAGGGGTCATGGAAAAGGAAAATGAGCTGGAGGGTCAAGTGTGTTGTGAGAACTGACGAATGGCAAGCAGAATACATGCAAATTAATATGCAGTTTGATGCTCTGATTTGGCATGGGCTGCCCAGGCACTTTATGGAAGAGCAGGACAGCACACTCACTCAAACTCTCACAAACTCTGGCCAAAGGATTATTGCTACATGCCCTTCAGCTGGGCTCTTGGGAGGGGCTATAGGCGAGAGCTCAGCAAGCAGGCAGACAGGCAGTGGGCACAGCAGAGCAGGCAGTTAGCTGTGATTACCTCTTGTGCTTTGGGGCAGAGCTGAGTGGAAGCAGGTGGGGTTAAGGGGACAGAGGAGGCTCCAGCCTGAGAAGACCCTGGGAACGCGCCCAGAGCCACAGTCCCCAGCCCCACCTCTGAGGACTCGGAGATGAGCAGTTCAGCCTACAGAGAGGGTACATGGTGAGGTGCCTCACTCTTCACACTTAGCCCAGCCAGCCCACCCCAGGCCTAAATTGCTTGTGCAGTGAGGCAGGAAGGAAGGGAAAGAGCTCAGGAAACTGGGCTAGTTAGACCTTACATACCAGGCACGCAAAGACTCAGGAAAGAATGGCTTAAGGGGCCTCAACGCCCAGTTCTGAGCCAAGAATCTAGTTCTAGACCAAAGCCCAGGGAGCTCCCAGATCAGGACCCTAGATGCCTATCTTCCCCGTCAAGGTGAGTCTGCCCAGCCTTGCCCCTTACCAAACCTCTGAGCTGCCCATCCTCCCCACCCATGCCTCCTGAATCCTCCAGATGTATTCAGTCACCCAAAATGGTAAGTGGGCTCCTGGTAACCCAAAAAGGTAAGGTCAGAAAGGTAACCAAAAAGAAGCAGCTGGTAGCCATAGAGAGTCAAATCCCAGATCTCAGGGCCATTCCTACTCAAATCTCTCCAGTTCAGGAAAATGTCCCCATAATCAACCTCAGCCATTTGAACAAAGATGCCATGTGTTGCTCCAGAGCCTCCCAGGAGATACCTTGGGCCTGAAGCTGGGGCTGACCCAACCACGTTACCTCTTTGAGGGTCGATGAGGTCTTTGGGAAAGGCCTGCCCCCCGTGAGTGAGTGGTATCTTCTTTCCAACATAGTCAGTTTCTCCTTCTCCTGCAAGCCCAAAGTGGCAGAAAATCAGAAAGGAGTCGGAATGATGGCAAGTGAGGAGACCAAGCGAAGGGGGATCCCACATGGCTGGCAAATCTCCACCCTAGCCCTTCTGCATTCACTTCCCACTCCCCCACCACCTCTCCCACCCAACTGACTGGGGCTACCTTCTGCAGCAGCTGCAGGGAGGCATTCTTGTCCCGGGCCAGGCGCTCCGACTCTTGCACAGCTTGGGCCCGGATCTGCCCGGCCTGACTGTCCAGGACTGCCAGGCGCTCCTGGAGGAGATGGTGGTGGTCAATCAGGCCCTGGGAAGACAGGGCTGAGCCCAAGGGGGGCTTGGCTGTCTCTCCTGCCCAGAGACCCTGGGCTTGGGTTAAGGGAATCAATCAACTCTCCTCCTGGCCCCAACTCTCCCCAGGAAAACTCAGGCTGCTGTGGTCAGCTCCTTCCCTCACCTCTCCCTTGACCAGCGACCCCTGTGCCACCAGGCACACCAGCCAGAATCTAAGTCCCCAGATCTCCCTTCCCCTCAACCCCACAGTCCACATGTCCAGAATCCTGGAGACACTGAACAGTTCTCTACCTACCCCCTTCCCCCATCCCCCATCCCACCCCCACTACCGCCACCCAAATCCAGGCCTACCACTTTCCTGGCTTGGACTCTTTCACCAGCCTCCTGCTCCCATTCTCTCAATTTTCTGATCCACTCCACATTGCCAAAATAGCTTCCCAAAATGGCCTTTGAGGTTTGTTTTCATTTGTTTGCATATCTGAATTTTCTAATCTTTCTAAAAAGAATATCTATTACTTGAATAATTTTTTATTTATGTATTTATTTATTTTTTGAGGAAGATTAGCCCTGAACTAACATCTGCTGCCAATCCTCCTCTTTTAGCTGAGGAAGACTGGCCCTGAGCTAACATCCATGCCCATCTTCCTCTACTTTATATGTGGGATGCCTACCTACCACAGCATGGCTTGCCAAGCAGCGCCATGTCTGCACCCAGGATCCGAATCAGTGAACCCAGGGCCACTGAAGCAGAACAAGCGCACTTAACCGCTGAGCCACCTGGCCAGACCCTGGATGATTTTTTAAAAATCCACAAGTAAGGTTAGATAACTCTTCTCCTCAAAATCTTTCAGTGAATCCTCATTACTCACAGGATGAAGCACAAACTCCTAAGCCAGCATTCAAGGGCTCCCAGAACTGGGCCTACACTTTCTAATTCCACTCCCCCGCTGAGCCCTCTATGCTCTCAGCTCGGCCATATTGGACAACTCAGTTGTGCAGTTTACACTCTCAGGCCTCTCTTATACTGTTCCCTTAGCCAGAATGTCCCTGTCTTCCTTCACCCATCAAGAGCTTACTTATCCTCCAAGACCAGATCGAATGCTATATTTTCTCCAACATCTTCCTTGATCGCCAATTTCTTTGCTCTTTCCTCTGTGCTCAAATTATTCTGTATCACCATTTGCCTTGTTTTATTGTTAACTTGTGAATATACATCCATCACCACCACCCCACCCAGGCTGTCAGATCCAAGGGCAGGGCCAGTGTCTTTTCTGTCTCCATATCCCTAATATGGTTTAGCACAGTGCCTGGCTCAACATTATATGTTAAAAGGAAATGAAAAGATAATAAGTGAGAGAGAAGGATGGTGGCTGGGGAAAATGGGGTGGGTTGATCCCAGGGGGGCTTCCTGAAAGAGGTAGGCTTAAAGCACTACCCTTAAGAACAAGACACAGGAGAGGAGAGAGGGAAGAAGGGAGCTGTCCTAAATCTGGGGTCAAGCAAAGACTGAAGCAGATCAGGCAGCAATCCTCACAGCAAGATCTGCTGTTTCCTGGGAACCTGTTAGGACCCAAGAACTCCGCTAAATGCTTTGCATTTGTTACCATGTTTAACCCTCTTAGAGGGCAGATGCCTTTACGCTTATTTTACTGATAAGAACACTGACATATTTAGGAGCTAAGGTGTCTTAACTGGTAAGTTGTAGAGCTAGGATTAGAAGTAGATCTACCGGACTCCAAAGCCAATACTCTGAACCAGAGTGGAGAGGACAGGGGAGCCTGGGGTGGGTGAGACACTGGGAGCCAGGGAATGGAAGCTGAGCAAGGCTCATGAGGAGCAGCATGGGGAACAATGAGACCCCTGGGTCTCAGCAGCTGAGTTCCAGTTTCCTAGGGGCCAGGGTGGGCATGGGGAGGAAGGAACAAGAGTCCAATACTATCAACCCCTCCAGAACTCGCTGGAGTTTATACCCACCAGGACCTCGAAGGGAAAGGATTAGCTGATCTAAGGCCCTGTGCATTCTCTCCAGAAGGAAAGAGAAAGAGGCTAGAGAAGTGCCAGCCCCTAGCCCCAGTGCAGTACAGTGGGAAGAACAGCGGCTTTGGGGCCAGGCAAGCCTGGGTTCCAATTCTGACTCTGAAGCTTATAAGCTGGAAAGTTTGGTGCAAATATGTTTCTTCTCTGAGCCCTCGTTTCCTTGTCTATAAAATAGGGATAAGAGCACTGGCCTTGTGAGAGAACCTAAAGTCAGCATGAGATAACCCAAGGAAGCCTCTTGGCACACATCAATGTGCTTGGGAAATGCTCATTTTCTTCTGTCCTTTCATCTGCCTCACATCTGGAAATGGAGTCAGGGAGAGTAGCAAGGGATGTGGATTTGGGGGTGGGGGTGGTCCAGCAGCTCCCTTATTCTCACCAAACTCAGGCTAGCTGTCAAGCCCCCAACTCACCATATTTTGACACCCTTCCCCTGATCTCACTGCCCTCACCTCCTACCCACTCACTCCAGCCAGGCAAACTGCACATGCATGCATGTATGTGCACAGACATGCAAGTCTCAGCATGAGTGTGTGAGCCGCCTGGGCCATCCTTCTCGTTCTCCTCCCCAACAGCTTCCTAACCCTTGCTTAACACAAGCCTCCTTCCAAGTTTACTCCCCACCCTCAGACACACACATACACCTCAGCCCCATCACTATGCCCTGGTCTAACTGAAATCAGTAGCAGACAATCACAGCACCCAGAGCTCCAGAACTGGCTAGGATACAATACCCAATACCCTCGTTTTACGGCTCAGCCAAGCCAGGGCTAGAACCCAGGGGATGCTCTTTCTAGGACCCCTGGCTGGCTCTAATATCCAGATCTCAGGTCTCTATGTGTCCCAGCACTTCCATCAGTCAGAGAGCTCTACAAAGGCAGGAGCAAGCCTCCTCCTCTATCTCCATCTTTCACTTCCCTGCCCAGCCAGTGCCCAGCTCCAAACATGAGCCCAATTCACTTTCCACTAGAAGACTGAGGTGAGTCAGGACTTAATAACAACGGCTGCGGTTCACTGAGTGCTCACTATGATCATATCCTATGCTATCTTTACATACATCATCTTGTTTAATTCTCACAACAGCCTGTTAGTGTTTTCGTTTTACAGATGAGAAAACTGAGGCTCACAAAAGTGAGGTCATCAACTGGGATCCAAACCCAGGTCACTGGCCTCCAAACCCCACTGGGTAACAGCGGCAGGGAATGGGGTGGGGCACACCTTCCTCTTTGTGATGCTGCGAAGCAGCTCAGCCTTGCTCCGGAGCAGCCCCTGGCCTGCCAGCTCACGCTCTTCCTCCACGCGGCTTTCCCGCTCCAGCTGCTGGAACTCCAAGTCCTCGAAGAGCTTTGTCTCAGTCTCCAGGGCCTCTGCCTCCTTGAACGACATTGACAAAGGGGTTTGGGTGGTGTTCGAAATACCACTCTGGGCCTGGAAGGGGCCCTGGGGGCTGGACCCAAGGAAATAGGGGAAGGGACCTGCCCCCACCCAACACCTTTTCCTCTGCTTGGCTTTGCCCATTTCATGGGCATCACTGCCTGGAGTAGCAGAAAGGAGAAAATCAACCCCCTCAATCTTTCCCTGTCCCCTCCAAGCCACAGCACCGACCCTGGTGTCCAGGTACTGCAGGGCCCAGTTGGTCCCGTCCCACCGCTTTCCTCTCTTCTGGGCGGGTGGCCCTCGGGGGCCAGGGAAGGGGGGCTGGTGAAACTGACCCTTCTCAGCTGCTCCTGTAACTGTTCCCGCACTGACTCGGGGCAGTTATCGAGCTGCGTCTGGAGCTCGGCGTAGAGCGCCTGGCGGGCCTCCAGGTGCCTCCGTCCCGCGGCCAGCTCCGCCCTCTCCTGGTCAGCGGGAGGGGGAGGGAGAGGGCGGGGCACAGGGGAGAAACAGAACACACACTCCTCAACTCCGGCCCAGCAGGCGGCCGCAGCGGCGATGGGAGGGGCGGCAAGGGCGGGAGAGAGAGAAAGGGTGAGCAAGAATGGGGTGAGGGAGAAGCGAAAAAGGGGCAAGGAATAAAAGAGCAGAACAACCAGAAGAGGGGAAAGAAGAGTAGAAAGGGAAAATCAGGAGGGAAGAGGTGAGGAGAGGGAGAGGCAGGAGCTGAGGTGTAAGACAGGACTCAGAGGTGCAGGGCATGGGCTAACACAGGCAGAGGTGTGGGTTCCCAAGGAGAAATTTTGGTCTCTTAGAGTCCCTTGCAGTAGAAATGTTAGGGTAGGTCCTAAGAAAAAGCCCTGTTTTCTCTCTAAACCAGTCAAGGCCAAAGCTGGTTCCACATCACAAACACGGAGCCTCTAGTTCCTGTTCCTCCCCCTCTTCCACTGCCTGGAGACCAAAATTTAACCCTGGGAAAAAGGGTAGAGATAGTAAGGGTTAAATCCAGGGTTTGGGTGTGAATAGGGAGCTGAGGATGTTAAAGCTACACCGGTGCAGCAGAGGAGACCCCCAGCCCAGCCCCCTTGGCCTCCCTCCCTCCTGCCCAGGGTGGGGGTGGGGTGCTGGCACTGCAGGCTGAACTTCAGCAGGATGAGGGTTGCAATTAGTTGTCCGTTGCCATGGTAATAGGAGCCCCAGGAGTGGGTACAGAGAGGAGGTGGATAGCTCTGTCTGGGGCAAGATGACACCTCTGAGGGTGGGAAGGGGGACAAGGGAAGGAGCTGATGAGTCACCCCTCCAAAGGACAGGCAGAGGAGAAACTGATTACTGATTCCAAAGCCAGAGTGGGGCCTTGGGCTGGGAACTGGGGAGGGAAGTTAAGTGAACCTTCCCCATTGCAGACCACTGCTACCACCACCACCACCACTGCCACCACCATCACCACCACCACCTCAAGTAACTGGGCCCAGAGAGAAAGCAAAGTCCAGGCCTCCAGGTTCCTTCTGAAATGCTGAGCTTCACCCTGGGAGTAAGTCCCTATGTTGAACCCTGGCCCCAATCCCTCTCCACCCTCTTCTACCCCCATCCCTGGAGAGGAGGACCTGATCAGGCCAGCTTCTAGGGCCCAAGTACTTCTCCATCCTGGGACTCAGTCTACCATACCCAATGTTCTGGATGGCTCAGGGGCAGGAGAGGGGGAGAGGCCTACCCATTCCCACCCACTGGCTGGGGTATCTGGGAAACCCCAGGGGAAAGCTAGGAAGGGTAGCCACTGTGTGGCAGAGAGCCCCTGTCCAAGCTCTCCACGGGCCATGCCACCACAACTAGACCTCCTTACTCCTCTGCTCTGGAGGGAAGGCAGGTGGATGGCTGGAGGACAGCCTGCCTCTCCCTGCTGTATAGGACACTGCCAACAGTCTGTGAAGGGAGGACCCAGGCTCTTTCAAATGAGAGGAGCTCTTCAGGCTGAGAAGCTCCTCAGTCAAGCATTTCCCCCAACCTTGTATTACTCCTGCCAATGCCCACTGAGTAAAGTTTAGCTGTGCCCCTTGCCCATTCCTTTCTGATCAAAACCCTGGGGTCCCCCACCAAGAAAGGAAGGAGGCAGCATTAGAGGGGAGAGGCCAAGGGCACAGAGGTGCCCCTGGAGTTAGTGCAAAAGCAGGCATGGCTCAGCCCTGCCTGGGTGGCACTGGCAGTTAGGGGCATGCGGAGAGCCCAGGACAGTGATTAGAGGGAGCGTTAGTGCAGGCCTGGCTTGTAAGCGTGGAGTTAATTTGGCACAGAATTTGGGAGTGTGGTTTTGGGGGCCAGAGCCAAAGCTCCAAAAAAAAAAAGGAAGGAGGTCAAAGAATTCTTAAGAGCTTCAAAATTGAGGGACAGGAGGAAGATACTCTCAAAAAATACAGAAAGAAAACTAATTCTTGGAAAAATACTGTCAAGTCCAGAAATAGATGGTCCCACTCCACTTCAAAGCTTTTGGCACGTTGTTGGGCATCTTGGGCATGGCTGGCACAGACCCTGTGAGATGGAGCAGCCCCTGCAGGCTGGCACGAAATCTGAAAGGGGCAGGGGCAGGAGCTGGGACCATCTGGGACGGGAGGCTGCAAATCCTGAAGGCTCAGGGGAAGCAGAGTCCTGAGGGCCATTTCCCAAAGACCACGACCTGAGCACCTGAGGCATGCTTGGAGGGAGATGTTCTCCAGATGGAGGCACCCCAACCTGAATCACTCCCCAGCACCAGTCCCCCGGGCAGTGCTCACTGTACAAGAAGGGGCTTCGGCACTTCCTAGAAGGGCCATGAAGGGCCCAGAATGGCAGGCACCCAGGCACCCAGAGGTAGCATAGAGACCCAGACAGAGGAAACCCCAGAAACCAGAAACCAGCCCAGCCCCTGGTGGTTGCCCTCCATGCTGGTACCTTCCACAGAGGACAAGGCCTCTTGCCTCTGGGGGGAGCATAGAGACCACCCAGTCTGCAGGACAGATGATGAGGTAAAGGGTAAGGGGCCACAGAAAAGGCATTTCTCCTCTCCCAGGCCACTGGTACCCAGCACTGAGCCAGGCCAGGTGTGGGTTACCTTGTCCCTCTCCTTTTGGATGCCTGTCTCCAAGGTCACCAGCTTCTCCTGCAGCTGGTCCACCGCCTTCTGCTCCTTCTGCAGCAGTGCCCGCTCTGCCTCCCTCTCACCCTGCAGCAGCGCCCGCTCCATTTCAGCCTGGGGGCAACACCAGGGTCCACATCAAGGCCCGTCAAGGCAGTTGGACTCAGGCTACTGTGGGGCCTTCATTCTGCCTGAGTAAGAGTCCAGCCAGGGCCCTCATGGCTCACCTCTCGGGCTGACTCCTGCAGCTGCTGCTCCAGCTCCTTTACACGGACCTTGAGCTGCTCCACTCGCCCCAGCACCTGAGCCCGCTCCTCTTCCAGGGCCAGCACCTCTCCCTGGAGCTTGGTGCTAGGTGCATCTTCATGCTGGAGGAGAGGGAAGCCATAAGCTGAGGAAGCCTAGAGCCGTCCAGGATAAGACTTCGAGAATAGATCCCCATTCCTCAAGGAATTTGGAAGGGGTAGCTAGACTAAGATAGGAGGCAAATTCCCCTCCCTGCAAGTGGAACAATACAGGCTCAGCTAAATGGAATACAGATTTACCACTGAGTGCCAGGCCTGGGTGGGGCTCCAAGGAAAGGCAGGTCATAAAGCATATTTATAGCTTGGGAAATGCGTCAACACCTCCCTCTCTTCGTTGCCTCATTTCTACACCTCTCATGCCTGATCTCTTCCCAAACTTGATCCTTCAATTACTTCCCCCTCACCGGGCCTTGGCATCCACCACATGCCTCCTAGCAGGTCTGACCCCAGCCCCCTCATCCTGTCCACTCCCCTACATCCCACCTCCTGCTGGGTGCTCTCAGTGCTGCTGCACTCCTCCTTGAGATTTTCCTCATCTGAGCGTTCCACACTCTCCCACAGGCGTTGCGTGGCACTTCCAGGCTCCTCGTTGCTCCGCCCAGAGGCCCCAATGGCCCCTGCAAGGCCTCGTGAGGGCCTCCGGCCTGCCAGTGCCAATGCTGCAGTGGCCTCCCCAATGCTGGGCAGCTCCCCGGCCTCAGGTCCCCCGTCAGCCCGGCTGTATTCAGCACACAGGTTCAGGATGGTCTCCAGGCGCTGGCGTTCCTGGGGAAGATGGACAGAGCAGAGCATGAGGGGGAGGAGGCCAGGTCCTGGTGGGACTAGAGCCATGCACAGTGTCCTGACAGAAGAGGGAAGTAGGACACTAGGCACTCGGGGCTCAGAATCAAATCAGGAGAACCCCAACCCCAAGGTCTAAGGAGGCAGAGGGAAGGAGGGTGCCCCAGAAGTGCACAGGAGGAACCAAGCTGTTGTGCCACCTGCCCACATGGCGAGCCCCTCCCGTCTTCCTGTTTCCTTTCCCTTCTCATTCTATCCCCGGGTGGGCTTCCTCGTGGACACAGAGGGACACACCCAGACACACACTGGTAAGCAGACTAAAGACCCAATGAGACACAGACAAACACTCAGGTGATCTTTGTGACATGGATACACATAGATCCACAGACACAACGGCACACAGAGACACCCCTGCACATCAGCACTGACACACAAGGACACATGTGCCCTGGACCTGCATTAACAGGCAGGTACACACAAAGACACCAGCCCCAACATGCACAAATGCACACCGATGCACACTCACATAGATAAACACAGTCTAGCATACAGACAGGTGGGCACCAACACAGACGGCTGGAAACAGATCCATGGGTCCATAGGGACCTCACAGTTTCACACAAAGATGTGCTCAGCATGTATACACCGTGCCAGACAGACCTGGGACACGGTCTTCCTCATCCCCACCTTAACTCCAAGACAGTCTCAGGCAGCCCTCGGCTCCTTCCCAGCTGGGTGGGCTGCTGCCAGGCCCAGGTATGAGTGCTCCCTCGCCCTGCCACTTAATCTGGCCCCTTCCCACACACAGCCCACTCAGATTCTTCTCAGGGGCCTAGGAGACGAAGGAGGGACAGTACAATCATGCTCCCAGTCTGTGGCCCCTCTCCCATTCATAACAGCCCAGGTTTAATGCCTCCCCTAGGCTCCCATGGCTCTCTGGGATCCCTCAACCTCAGGTGTCTCTCACCACGTACAGTTGGCCACGACCCCCTAGACACTTACCCAGCTTCCCTCCTGCTGCTTGCCCAGTTCCATGGCAGAAAAAAAAAACAGGAACAGAGCCTCAGCACCAGGGAGGCTGGGCCAGTGCCCCCGCCCCTGCCCCAGGACCCAGATAAGCAGCCTGGTTGAGGTGGGAGGGGCAAGGCAGACAGACTCCAAGATTTAAAGTGGCAGGTGGGGCAGGTCAGGGCCGGTGGTGAGATGTGTGCTGTGCATGGGGGTGGGGGTGGGGAGGCTAAACGAAGGAGTTGGAGGAAGCTAGGCCCACCACTCTGCCTGTGCCAGGCTCACTGCCCCCTCTCCAGGATGAGGCCCAGTGTGGGCCAAGCATTCTCATCTAGGCCAAGGCAAAAACAATGAAGAGAAGACGTACCAACAGGAAAGACCAGGGTTCCTGCCTCACCTGTCCCCCACCCAACACAAACACACTCCCATAGCCTCACCTCACCCAATGCTGTCCTACCTCTTCTGAAAGGGTCTCCAGGCAAACCTCGGTTCTGATTCTCCTCCTCAAACCAATCCCAGGCCCCCCAGGAACCCCGTTCTTCTGCTCACAGGAGAGCAAGCAGAACCCATTCTCCTGTACATGTGCTCGAGGGTGTACACACCAACCAGAGCCCCTTGAGCTCCCTGTGCTATCTGGGGAATCCCAGCCCCCACCCAGCTCAGATGCCATCTCCAGGACAGCTGCCCAGAGCCACACCCGGCCCCCGAATGCACCCACACGCATGCCTACACACACAATCACAATCACAATCACACAGGCAGGCCCAGATCAGGCCAGGGGCTGACCATTCTGTTCTCTTCCTCTTCCCTGCCACTGACATTCCCCGATGATCCTGCATGGGCCAGGACAAGCAGCTCCCACCCATTTATAGAGACCAAAGAGAAGCAAGAAAGAAGGACCAAGGGCTTATTGTAAAGAGTAAGGCTTGGAAAGATGGGAGACTTGGGTTCCAGTTCCAGCTCTGTCAGAACTTGCCGTGTGACTTTGGACAAACCCATTTCCCTCTCTGGGGCTCACCCTTCTCATCGTTAAGATCTGCTTCTCAAACTGAAAGGTGCAAGGTCTTACCATAAATGTGGTATGTTTTCCTAGAGCTTCACTGTATTCAGGTAAATAACGTGAAACTTAATTAATACATTAAAACAGATGCTATGTTATAGAATAAATGCAAAATTAGCATAAATTTAAAATACAGCCTTGGATGGGGCCGGCCCCGTGACTGAGTGGTTAACTTCGCGTGCTCTGCTTCGGCGGCCCAGGGTTTCATCAGTTCGAATCCTGGGTGTGGACATGGCACCGCTCATCAGGCCATGCTGAGGAGGCATCCCACATGCCACAACTAGAAGGACCCACAACTAAAAATACACAACTATGTACCGGGGAGCTTTGGGGAGAAAAAGGAAAAATAAAATCTTTAAAAGAAAAAAAAAAAAATACAGCCTTGGAGACTACAAATCAAGTTCTTCATGGCACCAGAACCTTGAGATACTGGTCACTACAGTGTATCCTGGAATGGGGAAGCTTAAGAAGCCCAGGCCCTGTCCATGGGCCCCTCCTACTCTGCCAGTTGGCCTGCCCACACTCTGGCAGAGACTCTGCCATGGATGTCGCAGCCTCCCTGGCATCTGCTCACCAGCCTCTCCATCTCCTGCTCCCGAAGCCGCTCTTGGCGCTGCCGCCGGTGGTACTCCAGGAGGTCATCCTCATTGTCGCTGATCTCCGTGATACTATTTTTCCGCTCTCGAGTGACAGGAACTCGTAAGTCCCCACTGGAGAGCTTCCTCTGGCTACGTGGGCTCTGGCGGGGCGAAGCCCCAGTCAAAGAGCCCAGACTGTAGGCCGGGCTCAGCCTGCCACTGAAGCTGCCCTTGCGGGGTGCCAGGGACTCCCCAAGTGTGGGCGAGGGGCTTCGTGTCCTACGGCTCCGTGCCCCCAGCGTTAGCGAGAAGTCCTCTGGTGAAGCCGCATGGGCTGCCCAGCGCCGAGGCCGAGGACTCTCTGCCACTTCCCTGGTTAGTTTAGGATCTGGGGTGGTCCGGGCGGGGATGGGGGAGAGAGCCCGTCGGGACAGGGATGGGCTCAAGGGAGGGAGTTCTCGCATACTGTCCAGGCCCCGCCGACCCAGGCGCGGACTCTCAGGAGGCTGCAGGGTGCGAGTGGCTGACCCATCTGAAAATGTTCGGCCTACCAGTTGGCGTGAGGGGCTGGTTGTCAATGCCCGCTCAGTGCCTGGTGGCTCACGGAAAGGGCTGGGAGGGCGGTCTTGGAGTGTACCAATCTTGTTTCGGGGAGCAGGAACTGGAGGCTGGAACTTGGGGCTGCCAGGAATGCTGGTGTGTTGGGTGCGGGCACCAGAAGCTGGGTATTCACTCAGGCTAATAGCCACTACGGGCAGCTGCCCACCCAGCCGGGGGCTCTCAGTGGCTCTGCGAGCCTCCGCCAAGACAGTGGCTGCAGGGCTGTCTGTCAGCAGACCCCGGAGGCCAGGGCTTGGAGGCCTCTCATGACCCCCCTTCCTGCCTAGCCGGGGGCTCTCAGAGGAGCGGGCACCACTCGGTCGGGACTGTGGGGGCTGCAGGGCCAGATGGTAGCTAGAAGAACGGGCAGGCACCAGTGGGGGCAAGGAAGGTGCTGGCTCCTGCCCACTGGGTGAGTGGCTGGCACAGCTTCCACTGCTGGCTGGTGAGGAGAGTGGAGAGAAAGCTGGAGAGGTGTTCTCATAACTGGAGCCCACAGACATGGCACCAGGGCTGACTGGTGGGGACAGCAGGTAGCGCCCACCATTAGCCATCGGCGACAGTGGGGAAGTTGCAGCAGGCTTCTTGCCAGCAGCTCCAGGATCCTCTAGCACCAGTGAGTCCATGATTTCCTGCAGGTCCTTCTCAATAGAGCTCACCAGGGAACTGTGGCTGGCACAGGCCGAGGGTCCCCGGGTTGCAGGCTGTGGGGTGTGGTTCCCATTCACCAAGCTTTCTGATTCTGCTGAAAGGAAATCCAAAAATGCCTCAGGCCCTGGTCTTTGACTTTGGGGAGCTGCATATGCTCAAGAGTGAGGGCACTTCCTCACCTCTTCTTAGCAGAGTAAGGCTGCAAAGATTCTGAAGAAAAGGCCAGAAGATCTGGGTTCCAGTGCCAGGTCTCCACTGACCTGCTGTGCAACCTCACCCAAGTCACTTGCCCTGGGTTTCCCTTCTGTAAAGGAAGAGGATGGGCAAAGCTCTTCCGGCTCTAACATTTTACGACTTAGGACAGAGTTGGCAACAATGCCAGACACTTCTAGGCCTAGTTGTTACCAACTCACCCCAAGACGAGGTTCCTCCTTGCCTTGGTTTCTCTAACCTCCTATACCTCTCCTTCAGGAAGGACAGGTAGATATTCTGCAAAGGGATCTGTGGAGCTGGCCAGATGTTCCAGGGGGTCCCAGTCATTTAGGACACTAGAGCCTCCCAACACAGGAGCCGAGATCCAGGAAAACACACACACAAAGTCTCCAGGGCTGAGTGAGGTATGTGTACTGCATCACTTTGTCCAATCAGAGGCAAGGGAGGGGCCTGGCACCGATGGCTAGTTCCTGGAAGCAAGGCTGGGCAGAAACTAGGTGCAGCTCAGTGCCTCCAATTAGCCCATTAAGCCACGCCAGCAAAAGCCTGCCTTTGCCCTGCCCCAGTCCTCATCAACCAACCAGAAGTCCCTGGAACCACTGCCCCAAACAGCTGAGGGAGTGGCATGCAAGGCTAGGGTGGGGGCAAGGTAAAGCTAACCAAGGAATGGACTGGGAACCCGGGTTTCTGAGCCCCCCAAGGCTGGAAAAGACTGGGGAGTGGAGGAGGAGAAGGAAAGCCTTACAAAGGCTTTTTTGCAAGACTGAGTTTGAGTCCAAAATTATGCAGACTGTGCAGGACCACAGTCAGAGGGGTTGCCATGGATACTGATGGTGCCAGTGACCAACTACCTTTCCTCAGCTCCCCAGACTATCCATTTAAGCCATTGATGCCACCCTGTTAGATATACCTGACATACATGTCCACCAGTCTCAGTACCATGTTGACACCTGTCATGCCATAACCCCTCTGAATGCCTGTACAAAGTCTGGGGTGGTAAGCCCACTGGCAGCCTCCTGGTCTATACCCCACCTTCTAGGCAGTTGGGGTAAGGAGGGCTGTGCTGGTTCCCTGGGACAATCACCAATTCTCCTCTGGGGATCAATAATTCACACACAAACTGCAGCTGCTCCACTGAGTCATCAGCTGGCATGGCATGGCCTGGGGGTGGGGCAGGGCCCAAAGACACGATCACCAGCAGGTGGTACCCACCAGAGCTTACAGGGGTTCAACCTAATGCTTCCTTCTGCCCCATCAGGCCACCCTGAAGGGTGAGGCTCCCTCATGGTGACACAAGAGGGTCAGGGTTGCAGACACTGAGGTGGCATCTTCCAGGGCAGTGGGATTCTGGTTGGCAGAGCCCTCCATCCTTCAAGCACATGACTCCCTAATTCCAGCCAAGCAGTACTTCTTGGATCTCTCCCAGTGGCCAGACTGCCTGGCACTCTCCACCAGCAGCCCATGGCAGGTGGCAGCAAGCCCAGATCATGGATATTGTCCTGCCCTGACACCATGGCTGGAGCATGGCTGGAGTGGGCAAGGAGGAGGACTGTCCAGGAGCTCCCATAAACCCAACCCCCTGCCCCAACTGGGTACCTACCTGGGCCAGGACTGTAGGGGGGCCCGGGGGCCCGGCCCCCTGCCGGAATCATGCTCTTCATCCACTTGGCTTCAGCCGGGTGGTTAAAGCGGAGGAAGGTGGACTGACCCAGGCACAACATGCAGCCTGTGGAGAAACCAAGCACTTGGAAGGGCAGGCAGGGCTGAAGCAACCCTCACTTTGCAGCAATAGTAGACTCACCTCAGGTTCCAAAGAGCTATCCCCACCTGCACTCACAGTGTTCACACAGTCCACACCTCACCCTACCTGTGCTTGAGACGGGGACCAGCAGAGCTCCACAGCACAGAGCAGAGTGGAAAGCACACTGGTTTGTGAGTCCCAAGATCCGAGTCCTAGTCGTAACTCTTCTTCTTACTACTTGTGAAATCTGGGTGAAGTCACTTCACCTCCCTGAGTCTAGTTCCCTCATTAGAAAAATTAAGACAATACCACTGACTTGCAGAGCTAATTCAACAGTGTACGTGAAACTGCTCTGTAAATGGAGAAGGTTCTTCAGAGAACATAGACACCCATGTCCCCCCAACTCAACCTGTACCCATGGACCCATCTATCTGCCCCTTGAGTGGCAGGGTCAGTTTGAGAGGCAGCAACTTCCAGGATCACAAAAAAGCTCTGAGATAGGAAACAGGGAAAAACCATAGATCAGCCAGATGCCCCTGCAGGAACCAAAATTTCCTTTCTGGCTCTGACTCGTTCCGTTGTCATGTGGTCTTAGAAGAGCTGCCACCCTCTTGACAGTAGGGAGTGGCCACCACCCCCCTTCTCTCTGATAAAGCACTCTCTGGCCTGACATCTTCCTGATCTTTGGTCGCCCCTGGAATGTAGCCAAGCCTAGGCCAACAGGCTCAGCCTCAGACAAGCGCATTCCCAGGCAGTAGACACAAGCCCAATCCTGCCCAGGAAGTGTGAGTGCACAGAAGGGGGAGGGTATGTGGGAGCCAGAAAATGTAGCCAGCGGCACTAGGATTGTGCACAGTGGTACTAGGAGTGTGCACAGCAGCAGGTGTGCCTACAGGCACCTAAGCCTGGCTGGCAGAACTCCTCCTCCTGGCCACACCAGGTGCTCGAGGGCTCCTGCAAAAGACGCTATGTTGGGAGAAGCCAGAGCCCTGGGTTCTCTACCACCCACTCTTCTAATTGTCCACACCCCTGGTCCCAGGCTCCTGTCTACCCAACTTGGTGCCTTGGCACCCCAAGCTTCATGCCAGTTTGAGCTAAGACTGGCAAGGAAGTCTACATTCCTGGACACTGAGACAGTTCAGCTCAGGAAGGCCACAAATGCATGGGGCATCCCAGGCCACGTGGGTACCTTGGGAGGCCCCCCACTGAGCAGCTCAGGAGCCTCTTGTTGGAACCCAGGGCATTGCTGTGGGTGGGAGGGTTAACAGGCTGAGAAGCCTTTTGCAGATAAACATAGTGGACAAAGATACCCACTTCTCTGGCACACCCACAGGCCCTCCCCGGCAGGCGGGCACCAACAATTCTAAAAGTTGATGGGTGGTTAGGAGAGCAGGGAGCCTTCCCTGCCAAGCCTCCAATCAGAGGAGCTGATCCCAGAGTAATCATAACCGGAATAAATAATAGCCAACCACACCGTCCGCCTAATTACAACCGCAGCTGTTTCAGAAAGAGACCTGCCAGGTCACTCCCTCTCCTTTCAGCCATTTAACAAGCTAATTAATGATGAGTTTGCAGGGTCTAGACAGACCCACTCAACCCTAGATTGACAGGGGTGCGGTGAGGGGGAATCGGGAGCCTGATCACACAGTCCAGGCTGGGAAGGAGTTGGGGAGTCTGGGTGGATTCCAGCCTATCAATGCCAGGCCCACCCAAGGAGGCTGTGGGCACCTAGGGACCCTCAGCCCTGGCTTCTATAGCTGTGAGTTCCCAGCCCCCTCCTCTGCCCCTCAACCTCCTCCACACAGGGGGTGTGGCTATGCTGCCTCTGGGCTATAAATAGGTGATGCCAGGCAGCAGAGCTGGATCTGTATTAATAGAGCCAGCAGGAGGGCAGTAGGACTGAGAGCAGCCCAGCTCCTGCCCAAATTAACTTTCTATTTGCACTCAGGGGCCCCAAACATTGCCCCAACTCTGGTCCCATGCCCCCAGGGGCCTGACCAGCCTATTTCTGGAAAGAAACCTCCTTTCTGACCACTCCTGCCCCACACTTCCAAAGGTCAGCCCACTCAGGAAATGCAAGAACCCCTTCTCATCCAGGCAAAGTTGTGGTCTGTGCCTTCCATGCCTAAAGGGGCTCAGGGCCCAGCTGTGTGCAGGTAGGTAGAGGAGCTGCACATCTGGAGGGAAAAAAACAGGGCAAAGGAGAGGGTGGATCCCATCTCTAACAGATGCAGAGGGGAAATACCACACACTTTCACACAGGCTCATACACATACACACTCACAGAAACACACAGACTCACAGACACGGGCATACATGCTCACACACTCACAGAGCAATAGTCACTGCCTAGCTGGCCACACAAATAGAATGGACTGGCCAAAGGAAGGTTCAGGGGACGGGAAGATGGGAGAAAGGGCCTTGGCCCTTTCCACCAGAGACCCCTCTTAGCCATAAGGCAGGCTCCCATCATCATAACCAAGACCCCTCAATGCCATCCGGAGGCAGTCCCACGGAGCAACTGTCTAGTGCTGGGCAAGATGAAGTCCACCCAGCGAGGAGTGGCTCCGAGCCCAGACCTCCCCCTCAGAAATGTTCAAGGCTCACACAATTGAGTCTCAAAGCCTCAACCTCCCAAAGAGGGGCCGAGGACCCCATCCCCCTCCTCGCACCCCACCTCCCGACGCCCCTCCCAGCCCGGGTTTCTCCAAGCCCCGGCTGCCTGGGGGCTGCGGCTGGCCCGGCGCTGAGGACTCACCGCCGAACCCGGACCTCCGGACCGCTCGCCCCCGCCAGCTCGGGCCTTCCAGGTCCCCGGCCCGCCCCGGGCCTTTGAGGGGGCGGGCCGACCTCCCGCGCCGCCGGCTCCAAGCTCTGAGCAGCTAGAAGCGAGGCTACGAGCGGCCACCAATGCCCGAGGAGGGGCGGGCTGGCCACTGGCGGCGGGGGAAGGGAGCCAGGGAGGGAGGGACAAAGAAGAGGAGGAGGGGAAGAGGAAGTGATGGAGAAGAGAGGGGAGCTGGATGGAGAGGGCGGGGCGGGAGAACGCAGGGAGGGAGCCGGCTGGGCTCGGGATTCCAGCGCCTAGGGCAGGAGTAGAAGTGGGGCAGGGAGGAAAGGTTCAAGGGAGGTGACAGAAAGAAAGGTATGAGGTAAATACAGGGGCCAGAGGGTGAGGAGCCAGGAGGCAGGAGTGAGGAGAAACGGGGTCTTACTGGGAGCCCTCTGTGGTAGGAAGTCACCAGAGGGCTGGGATGTGGCCACTTGAGCCTCTGACTGGCTGGTCACCTTGGGCCAGTCCCACCCTCTGGCCTTGGATTCCTTAGCTACAGAGTGAGGAGCTTGGCTTCAATGACAGCAGAGGTTAAGCTCTGACATTCCAGAGCTCCATATATTAGAGCAAAGAGTGGAACTCCCAGGGATCCAGCTAGGTCACTAGGTCCAGCTCTGGCCCTCAGTCTGCCACTGTGACATGGTCACTCTCAGGCTGGGAGTTCAGGCTAAGGCAGTGCTCTGTGCAACTGAGTCCAGCTTCTGCCTCCATCCCAAATACCTCCTCTTTTGCCCCCACCCCCACCCCGGCCCCACTCCCAGCAGCTCACCTCACCCCATGACCTAGGCTGGACCAAGGCACTGCCCTTCCAAGGCATCCCACTGCCCTGTGGGCTCCAGAAGCCAACCCTACCTCTTCCCAACCACAACCACCAGTTGTGCTAGCCCCAGCAAAGAGCTCTCCCATCCCAGTGAGGTACCCTTTCCATCTGGGAAACACAGTGCCACCTGCCTCTGGAGCCTCCAGGGTCAGGCTGAGGCTCTGGGCCAGACAAATACCTACCACCTAGCCTGGGCCCCAGAGAGTTCCTCTTATTCCAGGGATCTGGCTCGGGACATCAGAACCTTAAGGGACACACTGTGTTCTCACAGACACACTCTATATGCTCAGAGCTCACACGGCCCCACACTCTTTCTCTCAGATACACACCACTTGCTCAGCTGTGCACACTCTGAGTCACACAGAGTCCCGTCCCCCCCCAAGTTAAACAAGCCCTGTCTCACACACATTTATTCTCACATAACAATCCCACAGGCACCAACTGCCCCTCTTAGTTACACACTCACTCAGACACATATCCTTTTACTCAGTCCCTGGAGAGACTCTGAAATCAAAAGTCAATCTCTTTAGAGAAATAATCAAACAATTTTTGCTGAACACCTACCCACACTGCTATACGTCTCACACATACTCACACGCTCACACATACATATGCATCTTACTCCCCTTCTGAAGGAAAAAGGAAGAACAATATAGAGTCAAATGCAAAATAGCAAGAGTCTTTTAAAAAAAGTATTTCCTCAAGCGTGATTCATCGGTCTGGAAACTGTGACAGCCAGCTGGACAAACCCAGACAGACACGGAGGATGCCTGCCAGTGAGAAACAGGGCAGGAGGCAGGCACAAGAAGTGGGGAGCTAGGAGCCTTTGCTTTTTCTCTCCTTCCTTTGAGCTTTATTAGTCAAGCTCTTTATCAGCCTTATAACAGAGGACAGTTGGAGGCTTCACTCCCATTTTACAGAAAGAATAACTGAAAACTGGGTGGGAGAGGAAGAGGCTCAGTGTCCTGGATCCCAGAGAGAGGCAGCAGGATAACCCAGGAATCCTGGTTCCCCATCCACATTCCAGGGAGCCCTCCCTGCTGGCCCTCACACAAGCCCCTACCCACCAATGAGGGGCTTAGGGAGTGAAAGAGGCGTAGAGACAAGGGCTGGCAGCAAATGCTGGGGGTGGATGGGGACCTACTGTCTAGACAGCCTGGGCCCTGAGCTGTGTGGCATTCTGGGTCCTCCCTTACTTAGTCCCCTCCCAGATCTTTCATGTGGTCTGGCAGCGTGGTCCCAGGGCGGGGCAGCCTAGACCCAGATTGAGATTCCTCCTCATTTCCTTGGTCCTATTCCTAGCTCCACCTCTTGCTCTGTACAGAAGAAGGCAGTGTGGGATGTGCTAAGATACACGGGTATGGGAGTGGAATCAGGATCTTCCTGGCACCATCACTTCACGCTTCCATGTCCACAGCTCTAGCTAAATGTTGGCATCTGCTTTCTGCCTGCCTCCCCCTGCCCCTGGCCCAGGCATATTCCTGCTGGAAGAGCCTGTCACTGCCATCTCTGCTCCTCATGACATGACGTATGCCTCTCCAAGTTGCCTATGGCTGGGCACAGTGCCCAGAATGATGCATCTAAGGCCTGGCCCAGCCAGAGCAGGCTTCTTGTTATTTCTAGAGTAGCCCTCTGTTTTGCAAAGAGGAGGGTCCCCTCTACAAGGCTGGATTAGAGAAACAAGACAGGGAAAATGATCCTCTTGCACATATGGCCACAGATAGGCATGCAGCCAATGAGTTCTCCTATATACATAGGAGTACACGCATGGACACTTTGGTACCATCAGTCCTAAGTTCACCCCTGCCCCCTACTTGAACATTCTGATCCATAAACACAAGGAAAGAGACAAACATAGAGATACACAAGCCCAGAGTCACAAACACATCCGGAGATACATAAACACACTCTAGTTACACAGACACACAGAGATAGCACATGCACCCCCGAGCCACCCAGTTTCCAGGGAAACGCACTCCCAAGAATGTCCGGAGTGGGGCCATGCAGGGCTGGGCTTGGTGCCTTGCTCCAGAGATGAGACAAGGAAACCCTTAGCTCCTGGAGCCCAGGGGAGGGGGAGTGCTGGGGAACAGAACACCCGTTCCTTTGTGCCTCTGCCTACCCCTCCCCAGGCTGCCAAGCTTCTGAGACAGGCGGGCCTAGACAAGAAGGCTATGGGGGTGGGAGGGAGAAAAAGGGAAGGGGGTTTAGGGTCAGAAGAAAGTGGGAGGGTACATACTTGGCAGGGTGGGCTTTTGGCTGGGGAAGAGTTGGAGTCACTGGGGGCACAGGAAATGCCTAAGAATTCCATCTTGGCCCAGGCTCTCCCTTTTCTCAGGGAACTAAATGATGCACTGGGAAGACTGGGCATGAGAGGCCTACAGAGCATTGGTTCCTATTCCCTGCTCATAACACACAGGGGAAGAATGTTCTTGCCCACGAATGTGAGGGAACTGGGGCCAGGGGAGTAAGGACTGGGCTCCTTCTCCAGCCGTCTTTGAACTCTGCCCCTACCCCTCCTTGCTGCTCTACTGTTTCACTTCCAGGCACCCAAATCTCGGGGAAGATGCTCTCTTTGAGATTGAAGAGGACTGTCAGGAACCCGATGGCATCACAGCCAAAGCCCCAATTTATGGGGGTTCCTTCTCTCATCCAGAGTCAGAGAACTTGAAGCCCTAGAGGAGGCTTCTGCAGGCAGACCTGCCTCCCTGAAGTCAGTTGTCCCCCTCACTCTCCCAAGGGTGAGAAGAAAGGAATAGGGCAAGGTTGGGTCTCCTGGGTCAGCTGTGAAGGGAGTAGCATTTAAAGAGACCCCAAGGGAACAGAAGAAGAGAGGAAAACAGTGGAGTGAGTGGGATTTCCACCGCAAAGGAGCTTCCAGCCAGTAAGAGTTAAGGGTCCCTGGAAAACAATGCCAGGACATCAGTCCTCCTACTCAGAGCCAGGCTTAGCCCAAAGCTCCTATCTTCATGTTAACTCCACCTCTACCCCCAACCCAAATCTGCTTCCCTCATTCCCCTAAAATGATGAGTCACTGAATAATTGATACCTAGGACAAACACAACTAATCTGTCAAAGTGCCACCTGGACGGACCCTTTACCTGCCCGGTTACCATAGTAACTAGGGGCCCAATTTTTAGAGCTACCTTACACAACAGAACCTCCTCTTGCTTTGGGAAACAGGGTAGTAACCATATTCATGACCCAAAAGCTAATGTCAACAATCAACAGGAGTGGGCATGTCCTCACGTACTGCCATCAGATTTTTGCCCTTGCCCCATCCCCACTGGGGGATATTGTCCTCGTCTCCCTGACCTCTACAGCTTTTCAGAACAATTTCCTCTCCAGCATCATGTAACAACGCATTGTTTCCCTCACTGCTGCTCCAACTGCTCTCCCCTAACAACCACAAACGACCACCACACCACTCCCCATGCCCTTTGATAGCAGGAATCGAAACCTCTTCTCTCCCCATGGTGCGGGGAGGCCAGGGTAGGGGAGACCAGAGAAGCAAAAGCAGGTTGAAGCTAAGTCTGGATGTTAGAGGGGTTTGGGCTGTTGTTTAGGCACATTCAGATGCACCTGAGCACCCCACCCCCAATATGGCCACTCAGGCAGTTACCATGGCAACCACCACAGCAGGCTTCCCCTGTACCTATTATGAAGAATTTTTTAAACAGACGCCCCCTTTCTTTGGGGGTATCAAACCTTACCCTGAGTGAGCCGGGTGGGCTGCTGGACAGGGAGCCCATCAATGGTGCAGGCATTGCCACAAGGGTAGAGGGTGAGGGTGCCCCGCAGGTTCTCAATGTAGCAGTGCTCTGGAGCCAGGCCTGGACCCTGCAATGAGATGTCTCTGGCCGCAGAGCCAATCACTGTCCTCCCTGAAGACAGGAGGTAAACTGAGTCAGAGGGGTTGTCCAGGCTAAGGAGGCAGGGACAGAGCAAAGAGGGCCATGATGGAAATATATTTCCACCTCCTACTCCAAGGAGAGTCACTGGCCACCCCTTTTGGGCCCCTGAGCCTGGTGGAGGCAGTACGGGGTCAAAGCTCTTCGCAGACAGGGAACACTCTGGCCCAGAGATGGGAAGGCCCAGAGGGTACAGTGGGATCCAAACTCTGTAGACACAGTAGAGAAGGGGGCTTCTTTTCTGCAGCTCTTCCCTTAGTTCCTCCAACGCCCCCTCCCTAAGTCCTTTTTCCCCTTCATCATACTCCCCTTTCTTTTCTTCTAAATCTCCTTCGCTCCTTCTTCTCTCCCTCCCTTGCCACCTGCAGCCCTTGCCCTCCCTCACTCCCTCTCTCTTCAGTGCAGCCTCCCCTCACTGCTTCTGTGTGAACAGCCCCTCCCCCTGGCAGAGCCCCTAGGCCTGGTATTTGGGGAATGTGGGGAATGTAGTATCACCCAGGCAACAAGGGCAGCCATGAGAAGAGAGGAAGGGCAGAAGCTGCAAGGTGAAGAGCCCTATACCAGGGCCTTATCTTGGGAGAACTGCCCCACTCTCATCTCTCCATTCTTCACTGGTACCTTCTCCCATGCCAGGCATCACCCTGGAGTGGGGCCCCCTTTTTTCTTGGCCACACTGATTGCTAAGAGCTATGTGCTCTCCTGTTTCAGTGCTCTCCTCCTTATTTCTAAACTGATCTTTAATCCCAGTCATGGAGCCAGATTATCTACCAAAGAGGGCAGGCAGGCTGGGGAGGCAGAGACAAGGGAAACGAGCTGGTGGGGTCGGGTGGCATGGCCTCCCATTTGGGCGAGGTAAACATTGCCAGCAGTTATCAGAAGAGCCCCAACACATGCCTGGACTCCAGGGCAGGAATATCTATAAGGACAGAGAAGTGGCAGGTGGGATACCT